CCTATATACTTCTGTAAACTTGTTGACAAATATCTGTTTTTCATTGAGTCACCCGTATCAAACAGTTTAGGGATTTGCAGTTTTATTACTCTCTCATACATAAAAATACACTATACGATTCTCGTGAAATTAATAAAATTTATCACTTCCATTACTGTGAAATTTTCATAAGCGATAAAGGGGTAGAATGTAAAAACATTGAGTTGATTCCAGTTTACTTCAATTAGAATCTTCTACTTAAATCCGACTCTCATCTTCACGCTGGTGTCCTCTGTAAACCGGGCAACCCAACCCGGGCATCCGTAGAGATGTAGAGATCCGGTATCCAACCCGGGTGGAAAGTTGGGTCGGGAACTGACAAAGCGAATGAAATGGCCCTCCGAAAAGGCGGTTTGCCATTGGGTTGACTACAAAATCCTGTAAAAAACCTTTTGTTATAAGAGCTACAAAAAAGCAACTGTACTGTCTAACCTACGACGAACTCGAAAACAAAATAAGGATAATGATTTATAATTTGAACGTGGAACGTAAGAAGCCTTTATCAGCCTGGAGTCACGGCTTTGCTAATACAAGAGATGAATAAAGCCAAAGCAGATGTAATTGATTTACAAGAAATAAGGTAGACTAGCTTAGGCATGCTGAAAAAAAAACTAAAATATTTACTAAAGTGGACATTCTACCCGACGCGAATTTGGTACCAGATTTATTATAAGTAGCAAGGTCAAACATAGTGTAATCGATTTCACAGCTATTGATTATAGTATATGTCAAATAAGACTTAAAGGAAAGTTCGCTAATATTAGCATTATCAGCATCCATGCTCCAACGGAAGAAAAACATGATAATGAAAAAGACATGTTCTATGAGACATTAGACCGAGAGTGCGATGAGTGCCCAAAAAATTACATCAAAATACTAGCGGGAGATTCTAATGCCAAAGTCGGAAGAGAGAATATATTTTCTCCCACCATCAGAAAAGATAGCCTTCACGTACACTCTAATGATAACGGTCTCAGAATCATAAACTTTGCGATGTTTAAGAACATGTAATAGCTGGGACACGATTTCGCTATAAAGATATACATAAGGGAACTTGGAATTCTCCTGATAATGAGACGATTAATCAAATCTTCTTCTAGTTCCATGACCGTTATCGATCGTTGGATATCATGTTGGCTACCATATTCGCTATCGTGACTTTATTGACAGCAGCTCTAAATAACGATGTAGTTGATTTTTCATACCATTGCCTTAGATTTTTCAGCTATGATGTTCTTCGTCTACCAGGACCACGATTATCTTGGATCTTTCCCTGAATGATCAGATGTAAAAGATCATATTTTTCAGGGTGTCTCATAACGTGACCGAACTATTCCAGCTTGCATTTCTTTATTATAATGACCAGTTGTGTTGTTTGGCTCAGCCGTCTAAGGACCTTCTCATTTCTAACACTGTCGACCCAGTTTATTTTCAGTAGTCGTCTGTATACCCACATCTCAAAGGCTGTCAAGCGTTTAAGCATAGCCTCAGTTAGAGTCCACGCTTCCACTCCATACAGCAGGACAAGAAAGATGTAGTAAGATGTCATACGAACTATAAGGTCAATGCTCAGATTTTGACTGCAAAGTACGTTTCTCATTTTTACAAAGACAGCTCGGGCTTGTTCTATGCGCTTTTAATTTCTGCGGTTGGATCCCAGCTCTCAGTTACACGAGTTTCTCGACTCTGTCCAGTGTGGCATCTCCGACTTTTATACCGTCATCCTGTATATAATTTAGTTTGCTAACTATCATATATTTAGTTTTCTTAACGTTGAGTTTTAATCCATACTGATCACACGTCTGTTTTATTTTGTTCATTAGATTTCGAAGGTATTCTCCGCAATTGGCAAGGACTAAGCTATCGTCGGCATATCTAATATTGTTGACGGTTACTCCACTTACAATAATACCAATAATACCTTCGGTTGTCTCCATTAAGGCTTCCTTAAATATTTCCTCCGAATATAAGTTAAAAAGTAAAGGCGACAATATACAACCTTGTCTCACTCCTCTTTTTATATTTATTTCATCCGACAGTTCTTGTTCAACCTTTATTCTTGCCACTTGATGCCAGTATAGATTTGTAATTATTTGTAGATCTTTATCGTCCAATCCAGCTGTTTCCAATATTGCTAGCATTTTGTTATGTCGGACTTTGTCAAAAGCTTTTTCAAAATCGATTGCACAAATGTACACATTTTGATTTATATCTCTGCATCTCTGTACTAGCACCTGTATACTAAACAAGGCTTCTCTTGTACCCTAGCCACTCCTAAACCCAAATTGAGTATTGCTAATTCTGTCCTGTAACAGCGTGTAAATTCTGCTGTGTATTACTCGCAGAAAGATTTTCAAAATGTGACTCATCAGACTTATTGTCCGATAATCACCGCATGTCTTTGGACGATGTTTCTTAGGTTTTGTGACAAATGTCGACTTTAACCAATCAGTTGGTAATATCCCAGTGTCATAAATTCTGTTAAAGAGATTACATAGAGCTTTAATTCCATTTTTCTCTCCCAAAAACTTTAGTATTTCAGCACTTACTTCATCGGGGCCAAGTGCTTTTTCATTTTTTGGCCGTTTGTATTGAACGTCTTACCTCACTTTCTATTATAGATGGACCTGATAATATAGCAATCGGTGTATAATGTTCTACTCTCTCATCTTAAAATAATTCAGAAATGTAGTTTTCCCACAGCGACCTCTTTTAATTTCTTGTGCAGATGAAATGTATCGTGTTTCTTTTCATATTGTTTAATTTCATTACATTCTTTACTACGAAATTGTGTTTTCGCGTGTCTTATCTTCTGCCTGATTATTGCGTGGATCCTCTTGTATTCGTTTTTATCTTTATTTCTGACTTCTCTTTTTTGATCCATAAGTCTCAGTATTTCTTCTGTCATCCACCCTTGTTTTTTTCTTACTTTTATCGCACTCAATTTTGTTTCTTGAACAGTCTTAAGATGTCTTTAATTCTCGTCCAGTTTTCCTCAGTACTTTCTTCTTTGCTTGATGTTAACTTCATTTTTTGTTCTAATATACTAGTTATTTCTTGTTTTACAGTATCATTTAGCATCGTTTCTCTATCAATGGTAACTGTTTGCTTATTTGTCCTTGCAACTCTTTTTATTCTCAGTCTTATTTTTCCTACTAAATTATTGTGATCCGTTGGTACATCTGCGCCTGGATACGTTTTTACTGCTAATACTGAATTTCTGTATCTCTAATTTATACATATGAAGTCTATTTGGTTACGAATAACTCGTTCAGGTGTATCTGCTGGTGATTTCCAGGTGTAAAGACGACGTATTACAAGTTTGAAAAGTGTGTTCGTTATTACTAATTGCTTTTCTACGCAAAAATATGCCAACATATTTCCTCTTTCATTTCGTATTCCCAGACCATATTTCCCTATGATATCTTTCTGTTCACCTTCACCAATCTTTGCACTAAAATCTCCCATGATAATATTGACATCGTGTTTCTTTGTAGGTGCTAATACTTTTTCTAAATCATAATAGAATTTTTCAATTTCTTCTTGTTCATAGTATTAATCAAATATGTAGATCATATATAGTAATCGATGTAAGACACTGTTCTAGCTTATTAGATGATAGATCTTTTTGAGGAGCAAATATAGATAGTGATCACTATTTAGTTAAAGCACGATTTAAAAAGAGAATATCCAATTTAGAAAAGGAAATCGAGAAAAGGAGAGAAAAAATCGACAATAATAAACTAAAAGATCCCGAAATTGCAAATATATACAAACGGCAAATAGAAGATCAAATAAGGACAATAAAACTTAGAAAAAGAAGAAGACATTAACCAACTATGAACAAATATTCGAGATATTGTCTTACAGAAATCGGTTGAAATATTGAGCAAAACCAAGTCAGAAAAAAAGAAGTCATTGGTTTGATCATGAGTGCGAAATGGCCTCAAAATAGAAAGAATGCAGCGTATCAAAAAAACATCGACGCTGACTTAAGACGAAGAACAGGGTTACCGATTTAATTTCTCGAATTGCCACACTAAAATGGAACTGGGCCGGACACGTCGCATGAATCAGTGATGACGAAGTCGTTGAGGACGAAGGAAGGTGGACGAAGAAATTGCTTGAGTGGAGGTCGAGGTAAGACTAGAAAAGAAGTAGAGGAAGCCCCCTACACGATGGACTGACGATCTCAAGAACATGTCAAGAAATTGGATGAAAATTGGTTAAGACAAAGCACAATGGACTAAAATGAGGGAGGCCTATGTCCAGCAGTGGACGAAAAGGACTGGGTGATAATGATGTATAATTTTTAGAGGTCAGGTGGCATTTTCGTCTGTGACAACTAGAGTAAATAGATTATATCTGATAATAAATAGTGATTTTTAGTTGCTATTTTTGATCTAGGTATGTTAACCACTGACATAGGTTATATTTTTCGAACATTTTTAATACTAAACATTACCACGTGTATCTTTATAGTCTGTAAAAGTTAAATTTTGACAAAACTAGCCCATATTACCACACCAGTACATGATTACCATATTTTTACCATTAATATAATACCAGTGTTAACATTAATCATTAATCAACTAGTAATATTTATCGTTAAGCAGTAATTTATTCCAAAGAAAAAAACTAAAAATTACACTTTTGACTAAAATATTTCTTATTCCGTATAATTAATTATCGACACTATTTATCTTATTGATAAAATATGTATAGTGAAGTCTAAATAGTTAATCGTCTAGATGAAAACAAACTTTCACAATTCTATAAAAAAATTTGCGTCTTGATTCGATATTTTTAACCAGTATTTCATATATTCCCGAATGAAGCAAATGCGTGCTTACGCGCCACTATGACGTATTTCAACTGTTATCAATCTTATGTTCCAGATTTAGCCAGAAGGACATAAGACAGTCTCCAGGTAACACAGGGTAGCAAGGACTCTACCGAAAATGAACGTGACTACTAAAACTTTTGATTCGTGTGGATTTAATACAACAAATGTTAGTGATATTTGTGACAATCGAACTAATCAGACTGTAGTGTTTCCTTTAGAAACACGACCAGAGACATATTTTGTACCCGTGATATTTTTTGTGATATTCGTTGTAGGAGTGTTGGGGAATGGGACGCTTGTGATGATATTTGTGAGACATAAACATATGAGAAATGTACCTAATACGTAAGTATTTTTATAACATTTTAAATTACTACCACTAACTCAACATATCTTCATCTTTTTTTCTATTTCCTTAAAATTTCTTTCTCCCTTCTCCATTTACATTTCCTTAAAAGAATCTTTTCCTCTGACCTGATCGTATCAGGCTAGTCTTTTTCTCTCTATTATCATCATCATCATCATTCTCAGTGTATTCTACCGATTACGGTGGAGCCCTCTTTACATACTCATTCTTGATTTCTGACCACGATTGTCAAATATTTGCTTTTTTTGTGCCATGTTGTACAAGCTTGGTTTTATATGCCATAGTCCCATCTTAAATTTCGACGCCTCCTTGTGGTAATTCTGGTTCCAGTTTTTCTCGTTAAACGTCCCTACAAATGCTATTTTAAAGATTTAATAATACATACAATTTATTATATGTCTGTTTGAACTGCATTTGAAATAGTGGACCAATATAAAACTTGGACAAAAATAAATCCATACCTGGGTATAGACATTGTATAAAATATCGTTCCACTATCTGTCTCGCAACAATGTTGTTTGTGTAACAATGTTACTTGACTAAGGAAGTTTTTAATAGTTCAGGAAATGAAGCTCGAAAAAAGTTAAAACCTCGCAATTTTTTCGTCCTGCATGAATTGAGTTGAAATTTTAACAGAAGGTGAATGGTTTTAGGAGTGAAAACTACCCCTAATTGTCAAAAATTATAAAATAGCATATTAAACCTGAATATGGGTAAGATTTTGTTTGAATGAGTTAAATAATGATTATTTTATACTTTTGAATAGAGTTCCATCATATTACAACCCTTAAAAAGCAACCCTTGTTCGAGATTAATGTAAAAAATTACTAATTCTAAAAAAATGATTTCGCCTTGGATCGATTTGGATAAAAATTTGGATATAAGCTCAATTCACCTGCTGCTTTATAGTTTATGTCATGTAGATGAACCCTGATTGTTCTTAGGAGTGAAAACTACCCCTAATTGTCAAAAATTATAAAATAGCATATTAAACCTAAATATGGGTAAGATTTTGTTTGAATGAGTTAAATAATGATTATTTTATACTTTTGAATAGAGTTCCATCATATTTCAACCCTTAAAAAGCAACCCTTGTTCGCGATTAATGTAAAAAATTACTAATTCTAAAAAAATGATTTCGCCTTGGATCGATTTGGATAAAAATTTGGATATAAGCTCAATTCACCCTGCTGCGTTATAGTTTATGTCATGTAGATGAACCCTGATTGTTCTTAGGGGTGAAAACTAGCCCTAATTGTCAAAAATTATAAAATAACATATTAAACCTGAATAACATATTTCAACCCTTAAAAAGCGACCCTTGTTAGAGATAATTGTAAAAAAATTAGTAATGCGAAGAAAATGATTTCGCCTTGGAACGATTTGCATAAAAAATTGGAATTAAGCTTAACTTACCCTCTGCTTTATAGTTTATGTCATGCCGATGAACCCTGATTGTTTTTAGGGGTGAAAACTACCCCTAATTTTCAAAAATTGTAAAATAACATTACAAATCTTAAGGTGAGTGAAATTTGGTTTGGATTAGTTAAGTAGTGATTTTTTTATACTTTACAATACAATTTCATACCTTTTCAACCCTTAAAAATCAATTGTTATGAGTGCTATAGGTAAAAACAATTTTTTGCCAAAATTTTGCAAGTTTTCAACTTTTGCAAATCACCCTTTACAACATTGCAGTTGTAAAGGGTGCAGTTTATAAACTAATTTAATAGATATAAATTGAAAAAAGTAGAATTAAATACAAAAAAATTTATCAACATAAAAAGGCACCATATATTCTTATACATTTACATAAATAGTTGAAACTATTTACATTTATAGGTAAAACAATTATAATATTAATTTTATTCGTCATCAATTACATCTTCATCGTGATCTGTGTCATCCTCATCTTCTTCAATTATTGGTGGACTATTATTGCACCCTTCACCTGAGCACCCAGAACAAGTAAAGTTACAGTATAAACCAACTTTTCTGCACCCACATGAAACGCCGTATCCTTTTTTGCATTGGCAAAAAATTATTTTCAAAAGTTCATCGGGTGCATGTTGTTTGTTCATGCATAGGGTAATAACAAACCATCTTTGGAATACCATCCCCAGTCTGTTGCTCTGATATTTTCATTGCCAAGCCATAAACATATGAGCAAATGTTTTATTCTGTTGTAAGGGATTTCAAAATAAGAACGCTTAAAATTTCGAATGTATAATGCCCACTACCTAATATACCGGTTTTGTAGATTATTATGCTCCAAAATGTACTGTACTATACTAATGGAATTTTCCGAAAAAAAAAAATTAATTGGTTTTTTAACGTATTTCCTTCATTTTTAACGATAAAGTGTTTCCTCAAAAACGATTTTGTAGAGGTTTTTAAGAGCTACAAGGATCTGTGAATTAAATCTCTTTGAAACCCTTGGTTTTTAAATGGGGTGAGTTTAAATGGCTCGAAAAAGATGGTGGTTGATCGTAAATCGATGCTTTAAACGGCTATATCTCGCCAAATATTCATTGTACAACAAATCTAAATAAAGGAAAATTTTAGTCATTAAAAAAGCTACAGTTTAGTACATTTTTATTTCTTTCATATATTCAGTATTTTCGGGGATATTTAAAAAAAGAAGCAGAGATTTAAAAAACTAAGCATTTTAACTGGGTCAAACTTCTTGGACGTATTAGCAATACATGTACAAAGAGAATTGCAGAAGGGTGAAGATCGATTTTAATTATGGGTGTCGTTAGGGGGTTGTTTTCATCGATTTTTTCGTAAAAAATGAGGTATTAGCCTTACTTTTATCATAACTCACTCAATTTTTGAGCTAGAGTCTTTTTTTATGATAGATCTATGTATGCTCTTTAAAAAAGGTTGTCGTGAGTTTTCTTCCAAAAATGCATCATTGTCCCGATATTTGACTTTGAATTTTTCAAATTTGGCATTTGAAGAAAACCGCTGAACATTGATGGCCGTATTTCGGTTCGTATTATATCGCAGAAACATTTTAAAAACTGAATTGTATTTGTCTTTTTAAAAGCTACAAATTTGCTTCTCTACAATTTTTTGATAAAATGCACCATTTTCGAGTTATTCGCGAAAAATCGATTAAAAACGTCGATTTTTTCGTCTAAAAGTTGTTACTTTCAATCGCGAATAACTTGAAAAATATCAGTTTTACAAAAAAAAATGTATAGAACATTTTTTGTTTATAATCACTTTTTTAATCGAAACCTGTAGTTAAAACGTAAAAAAAAATTTTCACCCCCGAGATGGGGTGGCAACCACCCCCAAGGCTTTGGCGCACTTTAATTCGATATAGATTTTGATCCTTAGGCTATTACCTACCTTCTGTTAAAATTTCAAGTTAATCCACGCAGGACGAAAAAATTACGAGGTGAAATGCTTCATTTCCTGGACTATAAGTGGTTTGACAGCATAATAAAATCGTAGATTTTTGTGTAGCTTTCAATTTTTATGAGTTCAGAATCCAGCAGCCCGCAGAAGTATTGGGTTTTTATAATATAATTATTTGACAACCTTTTGTTGGCCAACCTCCTACAGCAGAAATGAGCCGAAATACATGATGTTTCCTATGTTCCGAATTAATTTCGTTCAATCTGTATTAGTGACTTTAGTTTTTTGTCTGATTCATACTATTCATTTTTGATCTCCCGTTATTATACCTAGCATGCATCGCTACATTGATTTTTGGGCGACTTTAAGTTTTGTAATTATCCTATTCTTTAGAATTTAAAATTTAAAATGGAAATTGCCAATGGTTGTCTGTATACAATAGTTTAAAAAAACTTACAAAGATGCAAAAACTTCTTTTTGCTGTTAAACACTTTTTATCGGATTCATCTGTTACTCGCCTTGCTCGCTTCGCTTGCTCTGCTTATAATAGCAGACCCTTTTGATAAAGAGTTACTTTACAGACTTGTTACAAAAATACCTATTACCTTCTATTAAATTTGTTTCAGATATATTTTTTCATTAGCCTTAGCAGACTTGCTGGTCGTCATCACTAGTGTTCCCTTCACTTCGATTATCTACACTATGGAGAGTTGGCCGTGGGGAACATTAGTCTGTAAAATTTCAGAGACTACTAAAGACTTATCTGTAGCAGTTTCCGTTTTCACTCTAACAGCTCTATCGGCTGATAGATTTTTTGCCATCGTTGATCCTCTCAAGAAGTTCCACGCCACGGGTGAGTAGGTAATTTTAAATCATTTTAATTACTGTTTTGTATTTCGTAATGTTATATAGACGGTTAAATAAAAAATATAGATGGTAAGGCAAAAAATCATTAGGAATATATTTAATCTATATAAGTACCTACTCGATTTAAATTATTAATAAAGGGTTTCGAAAATTAGCGAACATATTTGGAAATCAACGAAGAATAAAAATGTGCCCAGAAACTGTCCGCATATCACTGAAAAAGCAAGGATACATATCAAGGAATCCAAAAAAAATTCCTATAATAGCACCTCTGTAAAGGCAACAAAGAATAGATTTTTTCAACGTTTTCGAGAAGATAATTTTAATTATGTCTGACGTCTGAAGTTGTTTCCAGCGTGGTGCAAATCATAAAAAAAGTCCTATCAAGAGAAAATGTTACTGTTCAAATTTCCAATAAAATTATGGTATGGGGAGTAATATCTCAGCATGGTGCTACACCTCTCTGTCTAGTTAATAGTACTGTTGATAGTGCGAAATATTGTGACATCTTAAATGGGTTTCTTCTTGAAACGGCTCATTTTTTACATCCAGAGGGATGGCGTTTTCAGCAAGATAATGCAAGATGCCATACTTCTGCTTATACTTAAGCTTGGATGCAAGACCACGAATTGGTAACAATTCCGTGGCCACCAGCATATTCAGATCTTAGCCTTATTGAAAAAATATGGGGACTGATAAAGATTGAAGTGGAACGAGCAGCTTCACGGGACAAAGGAGGTTTGATTCGGTCAGTTTTACAAGCCTGTAACACCATTACCGAAAATGATGGCCGTGACCTGGTTTTAGTTGTACCTGGACGTTTAGTTAAGCGTTTAGATTTAAATGGAGGTTGTATAAGTAAACAAGATAAATTATTTGTTGAAATTTATGTCTCGACGTCATCATTTTTCTTCTAATGATAGTCGGAATCATACTTCTTTCTTCGGTATAAAGGCCATGTATGAACACCGGTTTTCCATTTATTTCTGATAACTTGTGGATCAAGTACTAGTGGACCAAGTAAGCGAATATATCTATTACAACATTTTTCGTATAATATTTTACTGGTATACTGTGTCAATCAACGCTGGTCAAGTTTGGTTTAAAAAAAAATTGTTTAATTTTTTGTAATGTGTAATGTAGGTTTACCAGATACTCAAATATATAACATAATAAGAACATATTATTATTAAAAAATAAGGTTTCATACACATAAATATTATTAAAAAATGATTAATGTTATCTAAAAACTGTTATCGACAAAGAAATATGTACTACGTTAGCAATATCTGTGCAGATCGTATTACCATCAAATTCATACTTATCATCATATATTACATTTCTGCTGATGGTTAAAAATTAAATAGCTCCACTCTGGTAAGTACTGGATGAATTGAGTAGCTCAGTAAATGCAGGTGCCAGTCCCAAGCCCGGATAAAGAAGAAGGATTGAGGAGATGGGCTAGCAACGCATCCCTTGTAAAAAGTAATAAATGCTAAAAATGTTGACGAGAAGCCTCGGGATACAAAAGATGGTTCAAAAAAGACGACTAATGCAATAGAAAACGAAAATGATATTAGCTATATGGAATGTACAAGGAGTAACAACCAAACAAGCATAAGTATTCAAATAATTAGCGGAAAGAAAAATGGATATATGTATTCTCACCGAGATCAAGAAAAAGGGAAAAGAAAATAAAGAGATAGGAGAATATATACATGTCTACAGCGAAGTGAGCGAAGATAACAGAGCTAAGAGAGGATACCCATTACTGCCATACGAAAACATAATGTAAAATCAATTACTAATTTGCGATATATAGTGCGAAAATCGTTTGAATCCCTTATTCCAAGATGACGTGTAGTCAAGAACCCGACCAACTTCGGAGGGCTGTAAAATCCAGAGAAATTTATTAAATTTTAAAAAATTATAGTAAAAATTACTCTATAAAAATTTTTAATTCTTTAATATTGTTTTGATACTATTTTATTGTAAAATGACTAGAAGAAAAGCTATAAGGCCTAAAAGAAAATTTGTTGAACAATTTTTAGTTATTTTTGTTTATAACATTTTTTATTTTAATTTTACGAAAAAAGTAATCCGGATAAAGCTGTAAACAATCTAATTTCCTACAAATTATGTTGTGTAAACTTTTATGTAGGGTTGCTAATTTACGAGATATAGCGCGAAAACCGTTTACCTTCACTTTTCCAAGATGACGGCGGAGGACAATGGTGGACCTCACAAACTTAAACCTAATTTTACACTAACCACTGCCCCATACCAAAAAAATGAAATTGCGTCCTCTAACAAATGTAATTTTTCAATAGACCATTAGCATAGTAGAGTATATTACACAGAATGATTACTATTTTTAAATGTCATTATCAAAATAATTTTTTTTGTGTGTAATAAATTCTCCATCGTTGATGAACGAGAAATTCTTGAGAGTAAATATGTAACTCAATTGCTTTAACATGACATGAACATTTTCGAATTTAAATCTGAATCGTAATAAAATTACATTTTGAATAAAATTTCTGTAACATTTAACACAAGAAAATTTTGAAGTAATTTTCAACTTCTTACTCACTAATTGAACACGATTAATTATTTTCAAAGAGGCTATTATAGTGCCATTGTAACTTGTTCTAGTAAAGTATTCGTATGTAAAATGAAAACATTATTAAAAGGTTTTTTTTTGTCAAAAATATTAAAAAATTAAAGAAAACAATCTGTTAGACATTAGAACAATAGAAAATTAAACAATAGAAATATGTTTTTTATTTGACTTGTTTCAGGTGGGACCAGAAGTGCAAAAAGAATAACTATTGGAACAACAGTGATCGTCTGGATACTGTCATTGCTCATTGCCCTACCAGCTTCCGTAGGATCCCACATAAAACCTATCCCCGACGAAGAAAATCCCATATTTTCAGTTTGCTACCCATTTCCCTCCAATTGGATGGGTGACAACTATGCCAAAATGATGGTTCTGCTAAAATTTTTTATTTTGTACCTCATTCCTCTTATTATCATAGCGACATTTTACCTAGGGATGGCAGTTTCGTTGATTACTAGTACGAAGAATATGCCGGGAGAAATCCAGGGGATTGAGAAACAGGTAAAACAGTTTTAAGATATTAAAAACATTTTTGATGAGGTGTAATTAAGTTATTACATTTTAATTATATAGAAACCAAAATAAATGGTGGTTGGAGACACTGTGCTGGCTTCAAATATTTAAGTGCATTTAGGATAAACACTATATGACGGCATAACATTATTAGAAATTAGTATATTTTACATAAAAGAGCTAACTTACTAAAAAAGAACCCGAGAAGAACCATATCTGTAGTTTTTCTCCTCCATTACATAAAAAATCGTATTTTATAATAACTGTTCAAGAAAATACGAGTAAAATCCAGTAGTTCAGAAAGCCAAAGAACATTATCTAATTAAAGTGATACATTTAAAGCTACGTCTAGGTCTCAAGAGCCCAGCTAATTAAGTTGGTCTGTCTAGTTTTGAATGTAGGCAACCGCCATGACATAATGCTCCAGTTATATTTAAATATGCGCGCAAATTGTGGTGAATTCAAACCGGAAAATGGAATATTACAATTTGAAATACCGCTATTCATGTAACAATAAAGGGGATTTATGTTTATATTTTAAGCATTGTATGTACGTAATTATTTTACATTGCGAAGGAGGAGAAATAGTTGGAATAATATCTAGTTATCCATTCATCTGCTGTAATCGGAGTCAGAAAAGGAGCCGGATTGAATGAAATACTTGTACAAAAATAGCATATAATACAAAATATATCAGCAGAAAAACGATGGTTTATTTAACAATTGAGGAATATAATAAGGAGTCCAACAAAGAAGTAAAATTTTTCAATGGCAGATGTAAGATGCAATTATTTTATGTTTACAAAGATAAAAATGGCACAAAAACTTTTATTTTAAGACTTCCAGACATTAATTACTATTAAACTGGGAATAAGCCACAATTAAAGATAAAAATACGTTTATTGACGTTTCAATTTCCACTTTTTGATGTTTGTTGAAGGTAAACTAAATTCACTAACAAATACTTACAATGTCGGGATAGTATTATGAGGTTTTTTTCCTGGTTTTCCCTCACAATTTACTATGGAATCACTAACAGGAGAATTTTACTGTCATCATGTCATGTGTTTGTCTTTTTAAAGAAAAATTACATGCTAAGATTTTTTTCTGACGGATATTCTCAAGTTAAAGTTGATTTCATGTAATCGAATGAACTATCTTATAAGTAAAGTCGTCCCAGGAGCGCAACTCAACAATATTGGCAATATCATTTTAAAGTCGTCTACTTTAAAATGCATAATGTATGTCTGAATTGTCAATATAAATGAGTCAGATAAAATTAAATTATTAGAAGAATTTTTCACTATGTAACAAAAAACAAAATTTCTTTAATTTACTGTTTGTATTTTGAGAACGATTTCCGAAGTGGAAATTGAAACGTCAATAAACGTATTTTTATCTTTAATTGTGGCTTATTCCCAGTTTAATAGTAATTAATTTACAATGCCACAAGAAAATAGCTTCAGAACAATATTCCAGACATTACTAATGTAAATTTTGCTTATAAATCTAGGGTAATGCACCCAGCTATTGGCACTTTAAGGAAATGTCTAGAGAAAAGTATTTCCGAGTTCCGCAAGAAAAGAACCACAATTTCGGGAAATTTTATTCTGGGCTGTGTCATGTCCTACCCTTCTTATCACACAACTGGTTTTAATAATAGCATTAGTAGGTATATTTAAATGAAATTGATTTAAATTTAAAAAACAGTAAAAGTAATAGTTATTGGCACGTTTCTTGCAGTTATTGGCATTCACATGGCTGTAGCACCTACCTGCAGTAATTGCCACACGTCTTGATGAAATTAATGGCATCACTTTCATAGTCAAATAAAAAAAAAACTGAAACGTAAGCTGAAATGTTTTGAAATAAATACCTTAACTGAATGAACAAAATTGCAGTTGTAGGTTATCATCGTGTGTCGCCTTGTCAACAGCGATCCTTATTACCATATTATTTCCTTGTATTGTATCCAAATTGGTTGCATTTGAAACATTTCGTTTTATTGGCCTTATCAGGGCAATATTTCGATCTGTGTCCTCGATTTTTACAATTATAACGTTGATCTTCTTTCTTCATCCTATTTTCCAGTATTCTTCTGCCACCTCCTCTAGCTTTATTATTTCTATAATCTCATCTTGCTTCATAGTTGCTGCCATTTTGTCGTACTTCATTAATTCTGTCATCTTGTTTTGCTTTATTGTTTGTTCACTTCTTTCTATGCGTCTCAGTTGTAGAGGATTTGCGTGACATCTGCTTTTTAATGACTTCATATAATATAATTTCTTTCTTGAAATCTTTAAAGTTATCGTTATCTTATCGTTAAAGACCTTATCTTCTACGTTACCTCTGCTACCAATTTCCCTTATCCTCAGTACATACTCCTGTACACTTTCGTCATTCTTCTTCTTCCTATGCATCAACATTTTATGTATTTCAGAAATTCAGAAAATTTTCTATTTTAGCTTTCTCTAAAACTAAAGTTTCTGCTTGGAAAATTCTTTGTTGTGTAAATGGCTTTTTTCTTCATACAAATTCTATTTTTATAACAATTTTTTTTAATAATAATACTTTTTATTTTTAGATAAAAGCAAGGAAAAAAGTAGCAGTGACAGTACTCATCTTCGTAGCGGTATTTGCCGTATGCTTTGCTCCTATTCACATTTTTATGTTATTCTTTTACCTCCATCCTGACTCCCAAGAATTGTACAATGACTTTTGGCACTATTTTCGAATCACAGGATTTTGTTTGGCTTATATGAACTACTGTGCCAATCCAGTGGCACTTTACTTCGTGAGTGGAGCTTTTAGAAAGTATTTTAATCAGTAAGTATTAGGTATTTTTACTGTTCAATTTGATATGTTTTTAGGCTAGAATAAATATTTACGTTAGTAGGAGACTTTGGCATTGAAAAAAACAGGATTAAAGTTTTGTTGAGGTCAATTCCTGATGCAAATAATTTGGTTAAAAATTTAAATTTAAAAAATGAAAATTTGGTATGAATATTCCTAATCATCTACTAGAAATTAAAGGTCTAATTAGAGATGTTGATATCCATTACGATGAAAATTATTTATTAGATAACAGTGAATCTCCCTCGCCCATATTAGGTTTCAAACGAACTTACAAAAGGGTTGACATGAATGAAAAAACTAACTATATACCACAAAGGACTGTAATAGTTACCTTTGAGGGAAATATTTTACCTAACTACATCGTAAGTAGTGTATTTTCTCGTGTTATAATTATTTAAGATTTGTCGATTTATTAATAGTGTCGCAGTATACAGGCTTCTTCCTCTTATTCGATTAAATTATCCGACCGATTATTAGAATTATCCGACGTTGATTATCACATTTGAGTCCATTCTTGGGTTAACTCTAGCTAACTAGAGTTAGCTAAAGATTCCAGCACAGATCAGAGGTAATGTAAGTCAATAAATCCTCACCAACTACAGGGGGTCATGTAAGATACCCCCATTTTCAGTTTTCAGTAATCTACAAATCAACAGTCTATTGCATTTGCCTTCATAACCACCTTAAGGATAGTTTTTTAATACGGAGTTCTCTATTATGTTTTCATGTGGCCATACAATGTTTTTTTGACAACTTTTTATTAAACTGATGATGGAATGAGTTTATTCCGAAAAGATCTTCTTTAAAATAAAAATTTTAAGCTTTTAATAAGCATTTTTTATACTTTAACACACACGACCACCACGTGCTTTGTATTCAACAGGTATACTAGTCACTCCTGGATATCTCCACTTCATGGTTTGTTCCAGTTTCACTTTTAATTTTATTTGTCTACTAAGAATGTTTTGATGGGCCTCTGGATGAGAAGCAAGTGACCTTGTAAGTTTTCTTATCATATATTCTTCTATTAATTATCCGTTAGTTTTCTTTTATGGATAGGGTGGTGCATTTGCCTGATTAGGGAATCTATTGTAACTGGGTGAATGACTAATGTCCATGCCATTAAAAAAATGTCTTCTCGTTATCGATCATAGCTATCCAGAGTGGTCCATCGTATTCGCTTCATTTTTTCAATAAGTGTTCTCATTACTTGTATATGATTAATGGTACTATAATCTTTTCTAAATGCTGCCTACTCCCGAGGTTGATAACTATTTTTTTATAGTCGCAATATAGTTGTTTTTATAAACAGCTTATGCAAGACAGATAACAGGCTTATAACAGAATTGATGTTTTAGGTATAAGTGACGTACAGTGGCCAGGTTCAGACAAACAAATTACAAATAATGTATTATTCAGGTAACAATGAGGTCAATCATCGCTATGGTGTTGCTATCTTAGTTGCAAAAAAAGTCAATTACTCTGTGATAAGTTTTACTCCTTATGCTGATAGGATTTTATCAATACAACTACTGTCTAAAAAAGGTATAGTAAATTTTATTCAAGTTTATGCTCCTACGGCAGATAAAGATGACGACGATATCGAACTGTTTTACCATGATTTGGAACAAGTCTTAAAATCAATGAAGAAACATCACACTACAATAGTAATGGGCGACTTCAATGCTAAAGTTTTCCAGGATATGTAAGGGAATATGGTCTAGGAAATAGAAATGAACGTGGTGACCGTTTGATACAATTTTGCCAAACGGAAGAATTTGAAATAACTAATACACTTTTTAAGCTACCAAAAACAAGATTGTATACATGGAAATCTCCCGGTGATACAACGAATAGAATAATCAGAAATAAAATTGACTTTGTCCTTATTAGACAAAGATTTCGTAATTCTATACTGTCTGCCAAAACTTACCCTGGAGCAGACATCGGTTCAGACCATAACCCCATAGTAGTCACATTACGAACCAAATTAAAACTGGTTAAAAAACCCACACAAAGTAGAATTGATATTAACAGATTAAGGGAACCACAAACAAAGGAACAAACTGTAAAAACTCTTGCTGAAAATCTACGTAATGCCCAAGAACTGAATAAAAGTAGCTGTAACATTGATCAGAAATGGGAAAATATAAAAGTAGCAATAATTAAAACATCAAATGGAAACTTAAAACCAAATAATAGAAAACCTAAATATTGGATGACTGAAGAAATACTACTATTAATGAATAAAAGAAAATCATTCAAAACAAAAAATCCAATTAAATATAATGAAACTGATCGATTAATAAAAAAGAGAATAAAAGAAGCTAAGGAGAGAATGTTACATGAGCAGTGCCAAGAACTAGAATAAATTGAGAAAAAATTCGACTTTTTAACATGCATAAAAGAATTAGAGAATTAACAGGAATGAGAAAAACACTTCAAACTAGGCAACTAAGAGATGAAAGGGGTGCACTTGTAACAGATATAAACCAAAAAATGCAGAGATGGACACATTATATAGCACAACTATTTGAAGACAAAGAGAGAACAGAATCACCAAAAGAATTTAAGGATGATACTGGGCCTGACGTTATACGAGAAGAAATTGAATATGCAATGAAACAAGCTAAAGGTGGTAAATCTCCCGGGCCTGATGAAGTTCCTATCGAATTACTTAAAATTGTGAATACTGAATCTATTGATCTTTTTTTGGATCTATTCAATACCATATATAGAACAGGTATAATACCTAAAGAATGGCTCCAATCAACATTCATACTGCTTCCCAAAAAAGCCAATGCAAAGGAGTGCAATGAACATCGCACCATAGCCTTAATGAGTCATGTCTTGAAATTGTTTTTAAAAGTAATTCACAATAGAATACATAAGAAATTAGATGAAGGCATAAGTAATACATAAATGGGATTTAGGAAAGGACTGGGAACACGAGATGCACTGTTTGCAGTAAGTGTTCTTGGGCAGAGATGCTTAGATATTAATCAGGAAGTATATGCCTGTTTCATTAATTTTGAGAAGGCATTAGACAAAGTGTAGCATAATCGACTTAAAGAAATTTTATTAAATAAAAACATAGATAGTAGAGACATTAGAATCATCTGTAACCTCTATTGGAATCAAACAGCAAAAGTGAAAGTTGAAAACGAACTGACCAAGGATATCCAGATTCGCCGTGGGGTCCGCCAAGGGTGTATTTTATCAACCTTGTTATTCAATTTATACAGTGAAGCCATCTCAGAATTAGCGCTTGGCGAGATCAGTGAGGGCCTTATAATAAACGGTGAGCCACTTAATAACATAAGATATGCTTACGACACCGTCCTTTTGACAGAAACACTAGAAGAACTGCAACACCTTGCTGAACAACTAAATATATATATAAATATAACAGAATGAGAAAACTTTTTTGTAATCGCGATATCAATATTGTAACAACTATTTTGCTTACCACAGGGTAAGAATATGGGGGACAAGATTGGGCAAACAAAATAATCGAAATTAGTGCATACGACACTCAGTTGGTTGTTGGAGAGCTGGGTCGTGGATAAGTTGAAGATATTGGGGGTTGGATTGGGCAACTACAAAAAAAAGAAATAAAGGGGTACTTATACAAATCTCTTGGGACAAACAGAATGAAAATTAACGGAAACACCTCAAGAAATTTAATATAGGGCGCCACTTGAGGTGCCCAATTATACCTATTACAACCACTAGTTGTAACTAGGGAAATAATTGTATAACATCAAAAATATAGAAAAAAAATATCTTTTTCAAATAAAACTCAAATAGATCAGAGAAACAAATTAAACATTTATTTTTGTCTCACCAAACAGTTTTCAAAAATACAGCTTATACAAAGGCATATTAAATAAAATTAGCTGTCAAATACAAATGAAAAAAACTTACATATCTGTTTACAAAAGGTTACAAAACTCTTCGAAACGGTTCTTAGTAAATAATTTAAAAAATAATTTATAAAAGAAAGCAAATTTTGTCTTTTTAAAAGAAAATGTCTATTTTTACTTTAAAAATTAATAACGTAAATGTTACCTCAGTTCACACATCTTAACTTAAACTTTTGAACAACTGGCTAACTTCTGCGGGTATCTAACTGCACATCAACGGAAAGCTTTATTGGAAGCTGAAACTGGCACATCCAAATCAAAACTGCTCCAATATTATTCTACATGAGGTGAAAAGGGCATCTCGGGAAGGAACTGGATCTCTCAAAAAAAACGAAAAACAAACAGGAACTAAACTTGTTCACTGCTCAAACATCATAAATCTTCAGCCAAAATAAAAACAGTGGTTACTGGTCACTCTTTCAGAAACGACATATTACTTAGAGTGAAAATTCCACCATTTTGGCGAATGAATGCCGGCTTACAACATCACAATTAAACGACTTTTTTCTTCGAGAAGTTCTTCATCACTTCCTCTCAAATCTTTTACTCCATTCCCACATGTCTGCCCCGCTTGGAACTTAAATCTCGACTCCTATCACATGTCTGCCCCGCTTGGAATCTAAATCTCGACTTCTTTTCAAATCAAATCTTGGTCTCAATTGTCCATGTCTGCCCCGCTTGGAATCTAAATCTCGACTTTTATCACATGTCTGCCCCGCTTGGAATCTAAATCTCGACTCCTTTTCAAATCAAATCTTGGTCTCAATTGTCCATGTCTGCCCCGTTTGGAACTCAAATCTCGACTTCGTTTCAAATCTTTTACTCCATTCTCACATGTCTGCCCCGCTTGGAACTTAAAAGTCGACTCTCTTGCTTCGTTACATTTTACCAGAATCTAGCCAAAAATTTCCCTTCCGTCTTGCAGCTAACCTGTCCCCACAAACTCAAGAACCAAAACAATATCCCCTCGCTCGTATCGACAAAAAAAACCTTTTAAATATTCCTTTATTGCCTAAACAAACAAATATTCTTTTTTTGACCCTC